ATGGTGAAGCTACTGTTGGCACGATTAGATCGACAACAGAATCTTAAGGCTGTATATAAAACCACACAATAAGCATCAAAAATGGATGACGGCAACGTCGATCTCCATGGTCAACTTGCATTAGTCATGAAATGTATTAGGGCTTAATTTCAATTTTGTTATATACAGGTTGAAGAACATGCTTAATCTCAAACATTTCCTCAACTCTTTCACCAAACTACATCAACATCCAGTCCAAAATATGTTACTGATCACCACAAAGTGGTGTTGCAGAGCCAAAATAAATTTATGCTAAAACCCAATGCGATAACTTTCTCCCTTGCTTTTTCACCTACTATCATATTTTAACTTAAAATTAATTAATATTAACTAAAGTAATTAATAAATATAAGTTATATCTAAATAATGGAAGATATAAAACTTTTTCCTACATCCTTCAATTAAAAAGATGTTTATTATCAAAATTATGAAAGTTTTAATGCCAAATTTTAACTTAGAATCAATTTAATGATTTAGTTATTTAAAAAAAAAATATATATATATATATATATATATATTATTTTTATTATTACAAATAATTTTTTTACGACGATTAAAAAACTATAATGATGGTTTTTTAATAAATTAATACAAATTTTAAACTATTCTTATAAATTACACGTAGAACGATTATATTAATAATTTCTATTATATATAAAATTCTCATTATGCTTTATCGCGATAAAATTAAAAACTCTGATATAACAAACAGATAAACTCAATAATAAATTTAAAAGTTTCACCACAACATTAGTTTGTTGTTGATGTTCTTCCGTAACAAAAGCTTCAACAAACTTAGAACCTTTCACTATTTTCATATTATTACTCTTCTTAATCAATTTTAATGTGTTTAAGAAAACATTATTTTTTTATCTTCGTTTCAATAAAATATTATCTTTACCTTTGATTCATTAAAACATTACCTTGAGTATGTTAGAGACATTTGTGGTAGAGAGAAACCATTTGAGAAGGAAAAAAAAAGAGAAATAAGAAGAAAAGAGTTGAATTATAATGAAAAAAAGAAAGAAAATAAGAATTACAACAAATGAGAAAAAAGAAAAAAAAAAGAGGCACAAAAAAGATATTTGAACACAATAAATAAAGTTAAAATTTTTAATAGGTAACATACCCCTACAATTATAAATATAACTGTCTTGATGTTTTACATCTAGGATAATAATTCATTTATAATCGTTTTAACATGTAACCTATAAAAATAATTATATTATACGAGCAATTTCAGCAGAAGTTGCTTATGGTCTAGTTGTTTATAAGTAACAGTGTTTGTAAGAAATTATCGTTGGAACAATGCGTGATAGGAACACTTTTGAAAAATTAAGTACCGCATCTTATAGAATTAATGTTCTTAAGAATTATTTTTCCTAATTTTTTTCAGTTTGTTTACGCGGTTCTAATATTTTTTTGTTTATTTTTATTGTCATTGTTGTTTAATATTTTGTATTTTAATTAATATTAATCATATTTTCAATGTCAATTTTTTTTAATTTAAATATATTATTTATTTTATTTTAATAGTTAATTATATTATAATTATTACTAACATAGCATAACAAGTCTCAATAAAGTAAAAAATAGTAGTTAAATAGTGAGTTGCTTATAAGAACCCAACATTAAAGTAAATTTGTAAACATTTAGAGAAATTTGCTTAAATATGATATGGTAGTGTAGATCCACTTAAGAATACAAAGTAGATTCTTATAAGAACCCAACATTAGAAATATTATAAGTATCTATAAAAAATAAAAAATAATTTTAAAATGATCACCGCATGACAATGATAATCCTTGCTATAAAATATTGTCTTTTGTCAATATATTAAATTGAAATCCGTCCTAATTTTAAAATGTACAACTTATATATTATTAAATTATTATTTAATTAATTTTAAGTTGAAATTTAATATAGTATAATATTATTTATTATAATAATCATTGTATTAATAGAAAGAAATATTAAAAGAGAATTCCACTTACGCCCCTTCTAAACTATTTTTATGATGTGTCAGACGTTTGGGAATACTTTCTCCCACTTTCTCATCGAATCAAAACCACAGGAAAAAAAAAAACCTTTGTTAATACTAGCATTCGATAACTATATACATTAATATAAACAAAATCATCAATTAAAACTTATGAGGAGACAGACCAGGCAGACTTCTTTGTGACTTTACATACTGTCTTAGAACATCATATTTTAAATCAATTAATTTTCTTGCATTTCAATTGGAACATATTGATCTCAACTCAAATCATGTCAAATTTAAAAAGCTAATTATTAACAATTTCAAATTTGAAACAAAAGACAATTCCACTTATTTCAAATTCACTAGCATTCAAACTACTATAAACCAAAGCTTAGACGTACTAATTTATTCAACACAATGAAATAAAAAAAGTAGTTAATAAATATAAACATAACAAAGAACCATACAATTTTTAAATTGTACATTTTATTAATTTTGACAAATATAAAAAATCTGTAAATAGTAAAATAGATTTTTAAATTCAAGTACTGAAAGAAACTAGCGCAATTAAGTTATAAAATATTTTTTTTATGAGTTTCTGAAAAATTAAATACTTTTGTTTTAAATAAATTAAAGTAAATACAAAAGATAAAGAGCCCAACATATCTATTTAAATAAAATCGATGTGATTTTGCTTCAAAATGGTCACGTTTTTGTCTTTGGTATCTTCTCGTTAGATTATACTCATTTAAACAATAAAAGTCTTCACTTAAAATAAAACGAATATTATATAATATTGATAAATCAAATCATTTTTTTTACTAAACCATTAAAACTTTGCTATTTAATATTAAAGATAAAATAAAAATAAAAACTCTAAAAATATTTTTTTAAGTAATAAAAAACTTATATATATATATATATATATAATAAACCTCTCTTTGTTAATTTTAATGGACTCATTGTTGATTATTATTTGAAACTCAATACTTATACTAAAATTCATCACTATTTTATTGTTCTCACACTGTTCTTCCCTTCATTTTGTTGCAGTAAACGTCAGTGTTTTTTTTTTCAATACGACGTGTATATTATTATTTTAAAAAGTGCACTTTTTCTTTGGCATTACGTTTCAGACGGTTCAATAATTAATAGCAAATAGCTGATGAAAGTTCAGTTATTGGTTGTGCGTTCAGATCTCGAAATAAAGATACGGTAAGATGAATACAAAATCTCATGAAAGGTTAAATTAAATATTTTTAATGAAAATATTAATATGTAAGTGAATCCAAATCTCGTGAGCTGATTTTATAAGATTAATTTTTTTAATATTTTCTCACCAATTAAAGATATAATTTTTCGCAATTAGTCAACCGTTTGATAAAAGATAATATACAACATCTATAATATAATAGTGGAAGAATAAAAGTATATATAAACATATCAGAGATGAGAGACGTAGCAGAGATATCATGTGTAAGAACAGGAGAGTGATAATGGGTACGTGAGGGATTTTTTTTTTTTTATTCATCAAAAGTACAACTTACATTACATGCATAATTGGTAATACAACTCATTTATTTATGATTACTACTAATTTAACGAGTTTCTACACTAAAAAAAATGGAACACATTTTTTTTCAAATATGAATTGTCTCCAAATTCATAGAGTTCCATTCTAAGTTCATTTTCACGCGTTTGAGTTTTGAAATTTTGATTCAATGTATTTAAACACATGTTTAATTCAATGCATTTAAAAAAAATGTTTTTTCCTTTTATTGTATATGTACTTCATGTGTTGTTAATTGTTACACGTCTCATGCTTCCAACCTTTGTTTTAATTTGTCTTATGTACCGTGTTTTTTTAACATCCATGTAATGCTTTTTCAAATGAAAGGATAATATTAGTAACCATATAATAGTTTACTGCAAAATTTTTCTAATGAAGTTTGGTCTTTGTTTAACAAGAGAATGTTATATATGGAACACAAGTTCGCTTAGCCTGAGTCCTGGTGATGCTATTTTATTTTTCTCTTTTTAGAAATAATTATTTTGCTTTCAAACAAAGCTTGTGTAAATTATGTTTGTTGTTGCAGGGGATAACGCAGTATGAATGTTATAGCATGGCCCTTTCACGTATTCTGAGTACTTCCGATAGTTCACACTTCTGATATGTCAGTTCCAAGATGCAATAAGCATGTGCGGTATATTTTGAATCACAAATTCATGTTCGAATTTGCTGAAATAGTCAATTGTTGTAGGATATTTGTTTATCACAACTAGACAAGAGATCTAACAAAAAGGGAAAAATAAATTTGAACATTTCAAATGTTTTGCAACACCTAGCCAGAAGAGGTATAACAGATGAAAATCTAAAGGATATTATGACAGAATGTATAATAAAATAATAGACTAACTAAAATCACTGTGATGTTTTCAACCATGCAGCATTTTCTTTTCATGCGTTTGAAAAAGTTCTGTTCAGCTACTTACCACTTTGAAAACTGAAGTACTTTAGGACTAAAGGACAGTCAGACAAAGTAGGAGTTCATGCTGAAATGATCGAGAGAGAGAGAGAGAGAGAGAGAGAGAGAGAGAGAGAGAGAGAGAGAAAGAGGATCAAAGAAAGTAAATGCACTTTAGTTAATGTCATGCTGTTGTACAGCCAAATATATTAGGCAAAAACCCACGTTTTATTTGACTATATGTACAATAATCGTGTGGAAGAGACCTTGGGGATAATTAATAAAAAAATGGTGGCCGAAGTAACATTATTAATATATATAAGAGTTTTGTCCTGTTATGTACAACTCAGTTCCCCGTTCGTGCTATTATAATAAAGCAAATATTGCTCGAGTGAGATTTGTCTCAACTTTAATTTGATGTGTGTGTATTTATATACATATATAACAAGAGAGTTCGCAGTTCAAGCTTTGAACAATAGTTTGAGATTTGAAGCAAAGAAGTAGTGATCAAAATGGGGAGAGCTCCATGCTGCGAGAAAATGGGGTTGAAGAGAGGGCCATGGACTCCAGAAGAAGATCAAATTCTCATCAATTACATCAACACTTATGGCCATTCTAATTGGCGTGCACTGCCCAAACTAGCTGGTAAGTGTCAAATCCAGATTTCAAATTAACCCAAGCTTATTCAAAGTCCTTAACTTACTATTTGAACAATCATAAACATAGGAAATCAATTATGGTAGGTCTCACCAGTCATTAATCTATCACCAACCAAGTTTCTCTTTCTCTCTCTTTGATCAATAGGGCTGTTAAGGTGTGGAAAGAGTTGTAGACTCCGGTGGATAAATTATCTGAGGCCAGACATCAAACGAGGCAACTTCACCAGAGAAGAAGAGGACGCCATAATCAGTTTGCATGAAATGTTGGGAAACAGGTAAACTGATAATATATTTTCCCCACCTACCTACCATAGAATTTCACATTATTAATTTCTAGTAATCATAATATAATCCAAGTTAACTTCAACATGATGGAAAGAAGATTCTTTTCATGGAAAATCAAGAACTAAAGAGGTTGAAGAGCCATGACTGACACTAGGATTCCAACGGCTCAAACAGTGAAGCAAAGATTCCCGAATATCTTCATTTTTTTCTTGATGTTGGGTCGTTTTCTATTGTGTAACATGAAACTGATGGAGGGATATTGCTGATGCATGTGACTTCATAAACTTCAACTCTCGAAAGTATACAAATGCATATCAAATTCCTTCTCGCCAGCCTCGTTTTATTTTTTTATTACTCAGAAAGGGAATAGTTTAGTTACTGTCCTTTTTTCAGATAATAAATGGTTCGGGCCCATGAGCACTTTGATTTTTTTTCTTAGTTTTTAAGGCAAGCAAAATCACAACCTGTTGGATACATGTCGGTCTGCAAAGATTCTCTCTTTTGCTGCAACATTTTCACGTGCTTAATTTTTTAAAAGACAACGCATCACCTAGCATTATTACTACCATATATTGTGGCTTTGGAGCAGCCAGCTATATATAAACTCTCACCTTTATTTAATGGATATTTTTCCTCCAACATCGATTCTGTGCACTAATCTTGTGATAACAATGGCGTGCAGATGGTCGGCTATAGCAGCGAGATTACCTGGGAGAACAGACAACGAGATAAAAAACGTGTGGCACACCTACTTGAAAAAGAGGCTGCCACAAAGTTACCAACAAAGCCAAGACCAAAAACGACGGAAAAGACAACCAAAGTTGGATGTGGACGCTTCCAAAGCCAATTACCAAGACGCCAAACCAGAACAACAAGACCCCGTGAATAGTGTTCACACTCATGCATCAACCAAAGAAGATAACATCACAGACGACATGCCACTTTCTCCTCCCCAATGTTCTAGCGACATCTCCTCCCTCACTACTAGTGACAGCATTAATAATAATAATAACTGTGACATGTCCTTACATGTTAATCATATTGACACGCCCGAGAACAATCTTGCATTGGACGAGGATTTCTGGTCGGAAGTTTTGTCATCTGATAATTCCGGTGAGACAAGTGGATTTCCGAGCATTGATTATGATCGGTTTGAATCAATGTGTAGCGAAGAAGGGGTGCTTATAGATGGTAGTTCGTCAAGTATGTGCGATGGCATGGACTTTTGGTGCAACGTTTACGCTAGAGCTGAGGAATTCACCCATTTACTGGAATTATGATGTTGGCTGCTAGACCAAGTCCTTTCATTCAATGGAAAACAAAAATTTGCTTCTTTGTTCTGTTGTCTGGAAATTAATTGATCTCAGTCCTAGTTAATTGCGTAGGTTATTGGAAACAAGTTACTAATAAATTGTGTATACGTTGATGATTAGTACGCGGTTAATACGTTTTTACATACTTGTCAAAAAAAAAAATTAATGGCCGCACAAATACAACTTTTTTATGTCATTTTTTGCATCACGTGATTTTTTATCTTAATATTTTTCTCTTTTATTACAAATTGTTGTATTGTATAACCTTTTCTGTAGAGATATGATTCCAGAAAATTGCAGTGTAGTTATTTAACACTTTCGTTTTCTCTTTATTTAATGCTACTAATCAATCACACGCCGCCCACCATCTTTAATTTAATTAACATATTTTGCGATCATATCTTACCAAAGATTTGTAGTTATCCATCTATCTAATAAAAAACTCAGATTGTAGGGAAAAAAAGGTAATGCAGTTTTATATATTAAAAAGAATTAAAAATCTCAAATCTGAATCAAATGCCCTTATGTTTGTAATGTCTAATAACTTGGTTAAAATAACAAAATTCAAAAAGGGAAGAAAATCTAACTTTTTGTCTATCTTTAATTTATTTTTTTTGGGTCAATATGTCAAACAAAAATGTTCTTTTCCCCCTCAACGTTGCAAAGCGGAAATAAATACAAAAATGTGATCTAAAAAATAGCCCAAATTACAGCAATCTCGAAAGGAGATTTATGTTGACACCACTTAAATTGCTATTTAAACCCTCTACTTCTATAAATTCGTTTGTAAATTACAAAACACAGTCCCAATGTGTTCCCATTACGTATTTTGTTTAGATAACAACGAAAATAAATTTATTTTAAATAATTTCGAACGTGAAAGGACAGTGATAGAGAATAAAGGTTGAAGAAGAATAGTTAACAAAGATGAAAACGTCCAAACGAGAAAAGGTTACAAGAACCATAACGGTGACACAAGGTGTTTTTACAAACATATAGTAAAGGAAACTTTTTCTTTTGGTTTTAAAAACAACCCCAGACGTAGTTTGAATTTGGGTTAAAAATCGTTGTGTGATTGTTATGATGAAGCAAATTTGTTCGTTATATAATAGTTAATAGCATTAAGGAGAGTAATAGAAATTTTGCTGTGTTGCGAACATGATCCAAAGCCATGGTAATGCTTAGTTTGTCTAATAGAATTTTGAAAATATTGTACAGATTAGCATCTGAAAGGATTGAAAAATATGAACAAATAATCACAAGTTGATAAGAGTACATATCCACACATACTAGTCATCAACTATTTTGAAGATCCATATTTAACAGTTATTACACTACAACTTTACTAAGATCCTGGACTTTTGCTAAGGGGTCTTTCTACATATTTCTTGCTATGATCTCTTGCGCCGCCATCTCTTGTCTGAATCTATTGATGAACTCCTCTGCTCGTTCATCTATTCCCTGCATCTGAGGTGAGGCCAACGCCAGTGACTCCCACATATCATCTGAGGCACAAGATCTACCACCCTTTCTTCTTCCTTCTTCCCCAGAGAGCCTTTCCCTTCGTGGTTTGTGTGCTGTCTGTGGCTTCAACTGCCCCACCAAGTCACATGAAGACTCTCTAAAGAGCTTATCAATGTACACAGGTGCAGGCTTCTTGTGGAACCCCAAGATCAAACTTTTGACTGTGGCAAACCTTTTGTGGCGAAAACGTTTGGTCACAATGAACTTAGGAGGGGCCTTGGAGGTAGGTTTCGACTGCTTTCTTGGTTTCTTCATGGCTTTCGATTTTGACTTACGGAGTTTACCAATAGTAGAAGTGAAGCTCTTCCATGCCTTTTTAGCAGGTGAAAGCCTTAGCTTTAGGCTTATGCAGGATTTCATGATAGGATAGGAAGAACAACGCTTCAAATCAGAAGAGGAGGATAAGAAGGTTAAACTCAATAAAGTTCAAATGGAAACTTGGTCCCTTTATAACATACATGTAACATGGTTAGATTCCTCTCTTTTTTCATATAAGGTGGTTATCTTATACTGTGCAAGGTGGCTTAGTTATTAGGCGCTGAATATTTCTGACAATAAGCATAAAGCTGCACCACCAACGAACTAGCTTGCTTAATTGTTAAGCTGACATTAACATTAACTGAGAACTAGAATATACTCTTTTGTTTGTTTTTTTACTTGACATTTGTTAATGGTTTACATTATTTGTTTGTTGAAACTGAGATTCTAAGGTTGCGTAGAACATTTTTGTGTCCACACCACGATATGTACAGAACAATAATACTGTTGTAACCAGGATTTAAACAATTTGCTCAGGTTGTGAGTAAAAAATCTCACCATATATTGCATCCTCTGTTCTAGCTACGGTTTTACTATAATAACAGGCTAACGTGTTGTACTAAACGTGTGTTTCTATTGTTAAACACATTAAAATGAGTAGTAGTAATAATGAAGAGTTTATTAGAACAAATATTGTTGGTCTCAGTATTACTATTGAGCAATTCGAATATTATAAATAAAACATGATTGAAAAAGAATAATAAACTGGTTATAAAAAATAATATTCAGAAATAATTTATAACTTTATGTATTTTGTTTTATCTTTTGTCATATATTTATAATAGTTTATTCAAGTTCCTCTTTCTCCTTTATATGTTTATTTTATATTTATTATTCAATTATTTTTATTTGAAAGTTAAATTTCTCTTTCTATATATATAAAGAAAATAAATTTGTGAAGTTCATTAATTACTTTTTAAAATATTTTCTACTAATTTCAATTTAAATATTTATCTTTTTTTCTTATTTTTTTTATAATCTTCAATAACTAAAAAACTTAAATTCTATTTTATTTTTGTTTATTTCCTTCGTATTTTCTCTCTCTATCTCTTTTTTTTTCTTTTTACCAAATGATTCATCGTATTATCATGATATTAAAAAGAAATTAAAATATTAAATTAAAAAGGATGATTTGAAGTAAATTATAAAAATATTTGTATAAACTATTACTAATAATTTTAAATTTTTTATTAATATAATATAGAGTTATTGTAAATAAATTTTCATTTGAATTTCGTATTGTTAATAAAAATATTAATTTATTATAGAATAATTATTGTGAAAATTAAATATATGATTCTTAATTATTGTTGGTGGGTCAATTTTTTTCCTCGTTATTATTTTTATTTTTAACTTTGTATAAGTAGGGAAAATTGGACTATAACAATATATAAAAAAAGTGTTTATTTATATGAAGACAAAAACTATTAAATTTGTTCAAATTATAATAAACCTAATATATTTTGAAATTGGTTTATATATCTATATGACAAAAGTGGTTCAAACTGAATTAACATGTTGAGTGAGTTATGGTGTAAATTATTGATAAATTAATGATTATTGTTATGGTTGAATGTCATGATGTATCAAATTGAAAAAAATAAAGGTGTAAAAATATTATAACATATATTGTGAATTCTTGTACAAATGTGAAATTCAATTAATTTCTTAAAATCGTTTAATCTAAATAATTAAATTCTATGAAAATAATTATGTGTATAAGAATATACAAATATGTAAAATATAAAGTGATATTTTAATATGCTATACATTATATTTCACCCTTTAAGAGTTAGAAGATCCAAACGATGATCTAAGTATAATATATTCTATACATAATAATATTTGTATTAATACTAATTTTATATGTTTTTTTTATTTTTTAGTATGATACACTTCATGATTATCAAACAACAACAATCAATTTATCAACAATTTACACCACATATTACCTATCAACGTGTTGGTTATGTTAGTTTTCAACTGTTTCCAATCTAGCTTCAAAATATATCCGATTAATATATTTTCGTCTTCATAAAATATGTTTGTCACATCTTTAAAGATAATGATAATAAAAAAGAGAAATAAGTGATTAAAATATCACATTGTGGAATAAGCTATCCTTATTAACTTTTTTAATTGTCTCTTATTTGCACTTAATTTTCAATTTTTAATATATAATGAATAATATTTATTCATTTATTTGTATTAATTTTCAATTTTCCCAATAATAATTTGTTTTATTAATTATAAATATTAAAATAAAACTTTTAAAAAACTAAACATAAAACAAAAAAAAATACTTTAATGAAAAAAAAAACTTTTAACTAAAAGTCATACATACCAATCTCTAAAAGATTATTATTTATGGTCCAAGACCATTGATAAATCTAATTATTATTAATTTAAAAAATAGTCAAGAAAAATAATAAAAACTATAATTAACAAGAAAATACTAAAAAAAAAATTCACCTTTGACAAACCTTTCTCGTTGTCCGAAAAAAAAAAAGAGTCTCATTCCTATTAGTATTAAAACCCGAGAATAGAACAAAAGATACACGATTTCAAGTAATAAAAAATTAAATTTGTGTACTAACATACAAATATAACATTTGTATTTTAAGAGAAATCATGTTTCAAAACACAATTGAATCTTAATTGTTTTGTGTAGTATTTATGTCACTAACAATATTTTATGAGTGATACATGTGTGAAAACTTGCACATGTGTCTATAAAATTGTGAAGAAGAAGGTTGTTGACGAACTCTTTCTTTTTCAATTCCGTTAACATAATTATTATTTATAGTATTTGTGTTATTAAACCAAAAATGAGTCATCAATAATTAAAATATGAAAATATTACATTAAAAAAACATTTTTATTTATAAAATAATTAAAGTATTTATCGTGATTAGGTGTATCACAATTAATGTTAATTTGGATCATCCTTCAAAATTGTTTGTTTGCATTTTAAGATTAAGACATAATAGTGACACGTGTATATTGGTAAATAGTCTTAAACTTTCAAACAATCTTTTATAAATCTTTAATATTTCTTCTAATTTATAAATTAGATTGATCTAGATATTTAAATTGTGATCATTTTTACTTGTAGCAATTACATACAACTATTGTGAGTGAATTTTTTATAACTTCCTTATATCAACCATATTTATGTTAGAATTTTACTGAGTTAAAATCGTTGTTACTTTGATCAAGGAAGGTTATAGATACATGAATTTTTCACACTTATATATTATATAACTTTATCATTCAATTTCTATCTGATGTAGACTTTAACTCAAATTCTAATATTTCCTTCTCAAGTCTAATTTCTTATATATAGTAACATTCTTTTCTTCAACCAGAAACATTTCCAAAACACGAGTATGTTCAATGATAATTTTTACTAAAATACATATATCAATGAAGACTCTTTTTCTAGTACCACCATTTATATTAATAATAGGACACACTTCACTGAGCGAATATCTTTATTTTGTACTCAATTAAGTTTATCACCAAACAAAGATGAATGGTGGATAATTTCAAACCTTGAGGAGAGATTTTGAAAGTTTACAAATGAAAGATATAAAATTTGTTACTAATTTTTTTAGGACGACCGTGAAGATTGCAAATAAATTAAGATGTCAACAAGAAAGAATTGAAAATGTTACTTTACTACAAAATTTCCTTATACAAGAATTTAACTATGTTATTTGCTCTAACGAGAAATCAAAATATATGAATATTCTATATTTAAGATGAATTGTAAAGTTTATTGTTGGTTCATGAGTAAAAAATGAACCAAAACTCACTTATAAATATAATATTTTGAAGATTTTTTTATTAAAAATGATATCATATTTTTTACCATATTTATAACAACTTGTGGTTAAACTAACAATGATGTAAACCTGACCCCTTGAATCCAAAACCTTAAACTATTATATTAATAAGTTTCTCTCTTTTATTTAACTTCACCATTTTTATCCCAAATAAACCTTTAACTTACATTTAAATTCTAACAATTTCATCAACCTTACTAGAAATCTTACAACCAGTATCTGGAATTATGGTCTCTTCCACTTTAAAATTGCATCTTCCTATACCTTTATTAATATTGTAGAGTAGATATAATCAATATTAACCACTTAAGTCACCTTCATTTTTAGGGGAAAAATTCATTACACCTTGTGTATGTAGTCATCGATGAGGAAAAATTTTGGAAGGTTGTCAATGGTTTTCGGGACTAAATTCATACACATGACCAGGACTAAATCCCATATGTTATAGAATGAAAACTTATTCGTATTAAAAATATAATTTGCAATAGTAATTGGGCATTCTTAAAGTCCCTCGATAAATTCTTCGCAATGTATTGAATGCCAATTACAATTACATCACATTTTGTTCCATCTAATGCCCAAAATTTTGTTCAATTCAATGCCTTATCGCAAGTACACACCTTACATAAACTTGTCATGATATGAAATAATGCATAAGCCATCTTATGATTTAACGTACCTCCGTGGGTCGCTAATGGAAAAAAAAAAAAATCATGCGTCATTGGTCTCAATATTGTGTATCAAGATTATTTATCATTAAATAAAACTCTTTGATTGAATAAATAAATATTATATATAAAAAAAAAACAATAACTTACCTTACCTTCTTCACAAATTATAAAGAACTTTTTTTTTTTTAAGTTGGAACGACATGCCTGTGTTTCCTCACTCATTTTCACACGACCACAACAAACTAAGATCACAAATAATTTCACAAGCCACAAGTATGATGTAGGAACAATATTTTCACAATAAAGTTGTCCAAAATATTGTTCCTACATCAACTCCATTTCATTAATTGTCTCCCATAAACCAAGTTGACTGTATGAATCAAGTTTAAATTTATCTTTCATGCTATTATTACTAATTCTTATTTCTTATTTCGATCACTATTATATAAAAATACAATTTCTATAATGTAAATAAATATTCAAATTAAACTTATTTTTTAATGATTTAATTAAGTTTTTAATCCTTGAAATATTAGATAAATATTTTTTTCAATCTCTCAAATTAAAATAAAAATAATCATTAAAAAAATAGTAAAATATGATTTAATTCTCAACTATTAAATTTGAAGGACGAAACACAATTTTAAAAAATTATTTTAGTCCTAAATTAAAATCATACTTTTTTTATTTTGAAAAAAATTAACTTTTCTTTTAATTTAAAAAACTAATCAAAATCACTCTAAATTTCCAGAAACTAAAAACATAATTAAAACTTTTTTAATTAATAAGCGATTAAAAAAATTAACTTAATATTAAAACTCTTAGTAATACTTTATACATTATTAAAAAAATTATGATATTTTAAAAAACACAGGTTTAAAAATTATTTTATTAAATTTCTGGTGTGATAAACCACCCGTCACATTTTGGTACCGAGCAATGACGATAAATGTATCCCTATCTGACGAAGAACACTTGTATGTATTGCCTTAAGCTTTCCTCATGACATACCCCATTCCAGAAATTGTTTTACTGCGAACCTAAACTCTGTAACTATTAACTTTAGTAACAATAATATGTGTTTTTATTAGTTTCTCCCGAGAACACCGTTTCTAAATTTTAATTTTTGGTTCCTGTATGCATTTCTTTCTCTCAACATTGTGAATGAAGAATACACTGACCAAATCTCTAACTATGCCCAGGGATGGTTACTGATGACAACAAAAGTAGCAAAGGAAACACAAATACAAAATCAGTACTAATTCCTTCCATTCCAATGATTCCTTCTATCTACAAACAATACTCTTCTAATATTCCAAAATCACATCACAAAGTAGTGATTCCGATTAAAACGCAGAAGAAGATCAATAACAAAATGGGCAAAGCGAGTGGACCTTACCCAATAATAACACCACTAAACTAAACATGAGTATATAGTTAATAAAGTAATATCATAAGAACATTAATATATGATCAAGTGAGTGAGGATTAAATTAGGGTTTAGGAGCAAGCCTGGTTAGCCAACAAGAAGATATTGGCTTGAGATGCAGCTTCAGCTTGCGACACCAGCGCTTTTATGACCAAAGTCTTAACCTGCCAGGGTTTGTAAGGAAAACCCTCTCTAGCATACGAGTTGAGCAACGCTGCGGTTCCCTCCTTCACCAACCCTCCGAACGGGTTACTCTCCTCGTCGTTCCTCGCGGTGGCTTCCACCAATGTCAGATCCGATCTGTAGTGCTCCTGCACCCGGGACCCGAACACGTTCGACACCGTCGATGTCTCCGGAACCATCCTCGGCCACGCCTCCCTCCTCCCGCTCCAGAACCTGATAAATCAGGGCAACGTTATTGCTGTTTCATTTCGTCACATTATTAACGGAAATGGGGTTTCTTACTGCGCCGTGCATCTTCCTCTGCTGCGAGTGTAGAGGAAGCCGGGTCTACGATGCTTCTCTGCGGCTGCGGCTAAAGATAGGATTTGGAGGAGACAAAAGAGAAGTGTGGTGCAGAGTGAAGCCATTCTTGTCTTCTTCTGTTTTTTCAGCTCTCATTTGCTAATAAATTTATTGTGTGGTGGTGAGAGGTGAGAGGTGAGAGGTGTGAGGAGCGTGACTCCGTGAGCTTTGTTTCGAATTTGGTTTATGCTTGTTTGAACGTTAAACCTGCACTGTGGACTCTGCTTTCGAGAAAGGAGCACGTGAAGATTTTTTGAATTGTACAGAGGCACCTGCACAAAGTTACCCGCAACTGATCAGTTATAGCATTCTTCAAATTCCTCTTTTCGTTTAGATTATAATTTGGAAAACGATACTTTGACAACGGTAAAACAAACATCCGTTCGATAAGAAAAAAAATTTAGTTAAAAATAAGGGTTTGATTAGTAAAATTATAGGGACATAGATGTAATATTGTAAAAATGGGGATGTAATGATAAAAAGTGAAATATATGTTCTTCCTCTTACTCTCGCTTGTCTTCTCCATCTCGCTATTCTTCCTCTCGCTCTCGTCGGCGCACGCAAAAGAAACGTTCGTGCTCTCGTCGGCGCACGCAAAAGAAACGTTCGTTCTCTCCTGGCTCTGGTTCGTCTATGTTTAAATATTCGATTTTGTTCATTTGGTTTAGGGTTTAATATGGTTGTTGATCACGGTTTTGAATTTTAATTTGATGGTTCATCTTGTTTGATTTCGTTTGCATTGTAAAGAAGAAACATACAACAACCATCGATGTTAGTGTATTATTTGCTTTCTAATTACTCACAGATTCTCTGTTCTCTGTTTTCGTTCACTGTTGACTATCTCAATAGTCGTAAACATAAACCATGGCTGGCAAAAGAAAAAGCTCCAAGCGCACCCACTCAGAAGCGACTTCTTCAAGTACCCAAACTATGACCACGAAGGAGGTGATAGCCCCAAAGGTCCTTGACACCCAATACTTTGTTAATAACGGATTTGTCCAATTGTATTTAAACTGGCATTATAGTGATGTTTCATTATAATCCTCAGTCTCTTTAACACTCTTTTTCTTTTGTCGGTGCCAGGCTGAGGACAAAGGCAAGAGGTCATGTTCTTCATCAGGTCATATGTCAACCCTGTTGGTGCAGTGCCACCAGAAAGAAAAGACATGATGCAATTATATAGTGTCTTGTGTACAACGAAATGGTGGAACAATTTGTTAACATGAAATTGAAGGATTATAATAATGAATGACTTCTGAATTTTAATTGTTGTAGACATATAAACATTAATGTAAATTTGACATTATATATTCACAGAATTTGACAGAATTATATATTCACAGAATTATAGAAAACAATTCAAAATTTGACAAATTAATCTAACAAATTATCAGGTTTTTGTGCAAAAAAATATTACATGACTCTCTGCTACATCCAAACACACCAATTGAAAAATATTCATGCCAAATTAACAGTTTAATCTACTTCATACACAAATATTCACACCAATTGAAGGTTTTGTCGCTTAAGCGATGGTTTTGTTTGGTAAAGGTTCAACTGTCGCTCAAGCGATTACGAAGTCGCTTGAGCGCGAGGCGACCTTAGATAGCGGTTGGCCAAATAACCGCTATCTAAAGTCATATATATCAAACTGATCGATTATAATTGGATAATAATCGATCATAATGTATAGTTTAGATAGCGGTTGTCCAAATAACCGCTATGTAAAGTCATATATGTAAAATTGATCGATTATAATTGGATAATAATCAATCATAATGTATAGTTCAGATAGCGGTTGACCAATTAACCGCTATCTAAAGTCATATATGTCAAACTGATCGATTATAATTGGATAATAATCCATCATAATGTATAGTTCAGATAGCGGTTGGCCAATTAACCGCTATCTAAAGTCATATATGTCAAACTGATCGATTATAATTGGATAATAATCCATCATAATGTATAGTTCAGATAGCGGTTGACCAAATAACCGCTATCTAAATGTTAGAAAAAGACAAGCGGGCGGGGGGGGGGGGTGAATTGATCTTTAGAAGTTTTTCGCAAATAACAGATTATCTAATTCAAAAATTAAGATTCCAGATCTGTTCTTGAATTACAAAGCAATCAATCAATATAAATGCAACGACAGAATTAAAATAGAGAAAGTTTAAGAAAGATATCACCGGTGTTTTATACTGGTTCACCCAATACCAGGGCTACGTCCAGTCTCCAGCCAAATTCCAGCTGGGTTCCACTAGATCAAATGTTTTACAGATTTACAATCTTACACTTAATCTACCACAAGAACCAAATTCCAGTTCTCGCAAACAACCTCTCACCAAGAACCAAATTCCAACTACGAGAGAACTCGATGCCCAAATTCCAGGCACCAACACCTAACCTTTTACCAAGAACCAAATTCCAGCTTCTTGACAACCTCTACAACCAAATTCCAACTGCAGAGAAACCAAGTGCAAAAATTCCAGGCACCAAACAATACAAAAAGAATGTAAAGAAATGAAAAAGAAGAAACTAGAATGCTCAAACCAGTTTCCGCAATTCTACTGTAAGTGTTTCTTCTTCAAAAGAAAACAAGTTGCCTCAAGAAAGATTTTCAAAGAACTTCTCAAAAACTGATGCGAATCTTTCTTGAAAAAAGTGCTTGAAGTTTGCTTTATTGATTGCTCAAGGATGTGTAAAAGATGATATTCAATGTGTGTTTAAAAAGTTCAAGCAACTCTGTTTTTATAGAAGATTTTCAAAACTGCTGGTTTAATTAATCTGTTAAAAGATTCTTTTAATCTGTTAAAAGTGCAGTTTTAATCTGTTAAAACTTCTTTTAATCCATTAATACGTTCTTGATTCTTTAACAGATTTGTTTTAACTGATACGACAACGTTTGTATCAATTAAAACACTTTACAAAAAAATCTTCTAAAAATCTTCTAAGTTGATTTAATCGATTGTTTCGTGATTCAATCGATTGAGATACTGCACAACTTTCTTGTAAAACTTTTCAAGTTATTTTAACTGATAAAAATAAGTTTTAATCGATTAAAACGCTGTGTAGAAATTTTCTAAGTTGTTTTAATCGATTGAAACGAGATTTAATCGATTAAAAGAGTTCTGATCGGTCATAACTAAATTATGATCGATCATAACTGATTCTGATCGGTCATAATTCAATTCTGATCGATCATATCTGATTCTGATCGGTCATAATTGTATTCTGATCGATCATCCTGAACTCCAAGTGGTTTTAACCGATTAAACTCAAGTTGTATCGATTAAAATACTGTAAAAACACTTCTCTGAATATTCTAAGTAATTTTAATCGGTTCTATCAAAGCTGTATCAGTTAAAAACTTGTTTAAGAAAGCTGATAAATGTCTGGATAAACTTGTTTAAAAACTTGTTTAAGAAAGCTGATAAACTTGTTTAAAAACTCAACTTGTTTTTTATCACATGTCTGATAAATGTCTACAACCGATGATTGTTACGTAAATGTATGGACCATCAACTGCTGATAAATGCATTGAAGAAATTACAATTGCTTTTACATTGTTATATTTACATCCACAACTCTTACAAGATCAGAATGTATAGTCTACACTCATCGTTGCACGTTTATGTCCTATCATATATACTCTAACAAAATCAGAATGTATAGTCTACACTACTCGATGACGTTATCCAGCCAACAAGACATTGAATCAAAAAAAGCTCTCGTCAATCAACATTGTTATATTGTTAACATGTGCAGTTGAAATAACACTGCAAAATTCTATGTAGTAGATATTAACACTTATGTCATGCATGTTGAAGAAGAAATTATTAGTATACATCAACGTAATGCAATTCAAAACTAATGTAATAATATTCATTGTTAACAAAGTAATTCATTAAAAAAACAATGTTTCCAAACCATTTTGTTGAGGAATTCACTGGTCAGTGATAATACCCGTAGGAGCCTTCCCAGACATGCAACGTAACCATGATTCAAATAACCAAATAAAAGAAGTGGTGTCTTCACTTGATAACAACCCACACCCTAACAATATGGAGTGTCCATGATGATTTACACCCACAAATGGCGCGAACGGCATGTCATATTTATTGGTCAAGTATGTTGTATCAAATGAAACAACATCGCCAAAGTATTCACAAGCCGCCCTACTTCTAGCGTCAGCCCAGAAAACATTTTTCACACGATTATCATCATCCAGGTCTATATCAAAATAGAAATCCTTGTTTAAGTCCCTCATTTGTGAAAAATAATTCAATAGAGCTTTCCCATCACCTTCTTTTCCTAGTGCACGTCTTTGTTTATTGACATAGTTGCGTACATTTCGTTCGACAAATTGGAGGTTTTCATAACCTCCTGCAGTACTCATAAAATATACTGTGACAAAAGTTACACTTACGAGCCGTTGGTATATAAAATGATGCAAATAATTTGGATTGATATACTAATTTTTAAAACGAATTCATTTTAAAATTGATGAGATGTTATATTTTTTTATTTATTTTTGAATCTCCTCTTAAAAATTTTAGTTAAATACTTTTCATTATTTCATCAATTATTTTTGGCTTCTTCAATAAATAGTTGTTGAGCATAGGTATAAACAACCTGTGACTTTTTTTCATAAATAACACTATTTTTTAAAATATTTCCCAAAATAGCACATCTGCAACATTATTTACACAACTAGCACTCTTTACTGTTCACATATAAAAATAATCGATTATTTTCATATTATGATCGATTATTTCACGCAATGCAATATCGCTCAAGCGAACAAAACCTTCACTTGAGCGAGGAAATCTGTAACAAAGGGGTAATCTCGGGTCAATTCTCGCTCAATCGAAGAAATCCTTCGCTTGCGCGAGGAAATCTGTAACAAAGGATAAATCTCCGGTCAATTATCGCTCAAGCGAAGGCTATTTTCGCTTGAGCGAAAGGTGATTAAAATATGTGGTGACCCAAGTTGCGTTTTATGGCTAACTGCGTTGGACGTTTAGCCATGGTCAATTATCGCTCAAGCGAGTAGTTACTTCGCTCGAGCCATGGTCTATAACTAACCGCAATTTGTTGAACCGCTATTATTTTAAAATTATGATCGATTAGTTCAAATTAAAATCGATTGTAAATTTATTCGCTCAAGCGATAGATTCCTCGCTTGAGCGATAATTGACCACGGTCTAACGCAGTTACCCAATCAATTCTCGCGCGAGCGAAGTAACTCATCACTTGAGCGAAAATTGACCATGGCTAAACGTTCAACGCAGTTAGCCACAAAACGCAACATGAGTCACCACATATTTTAATCACTTTTCGCTCAAGCGAAAATATCAGTCGCTTGAGCGATAATTGACCGGAGATTACCCCTTTGTTACAGATTCCCTCGCTCAAGCGAAGGTTGTCTTCGCTTGAGCGAGTATTGACCGGATATTTTAGATAGTGGTTCTGGAGCTAACCGCTATTAAAAATATATTTTAGATAGTGGTTAACGGGGAACCGCTATTGTATATTCACTTTTAAGAGCGGTTAAAATATTAACCGCTCTTAAAGTGACACATATTTGAGGGAGAATTAATCTGTTACAGATTTCCTCGCGCAAGCGAAGGATCTATTCGCTTGAGCGAGAGTTCATGCACGTAATAATCAATCATAATATAAAATAATCGATTATTTTAATACGTGAACAATAAAGAGTGCTAGTTGTGTAAATAATGTTCCAGATGTACTATTTTGGAAAATATTTTTAAAATAATATTATTTATGAAAAAAAGTCACAATCTGTTGAGAGAATAATTTCCACAAAAGAAAGAGCACAATCCTACTTTCCTTAAAACTTCTTATCTTCCGTTAATGGGAAGAATACCTTACTGTCTTTATTTAATAAGGCATGTGGATGAAGAGAGGATACTGAAAAAGACATTGGATCAGAATACACCTACTGGAGCATTATATTGTACATACAAGAATTACTTACGTTCTTCCATGCTATTGTATATGTATCACATGAACTAGTTGAACATCACTATATCCCAGTTTAACTCCATTCTTAGAGCTATAACTGGTGTGATTCAAATTTAAAAGGGCAGAGTATGAGATTTATCTTGCTCTTGAAGCACCCGAGAATTTTTCTAATTAAAGAATAGCACACTGCACAGAAGTATATAACTGAAAGCTTCCCCTCTTTGTGCCCATATACCTAAACGGAGACAGATTTCTCTTACCAGTTGATCCTGCAAGAGACGTTCCTCGAATTCCTCCTTTTTCTATTTCATTTGTTTTCTCTCCATAACTACAGTTTTATTCTTCTGATAAACAAGTACTGATTTTATTCAGACCTAGCCTTTCCCTCTTTAAATTTTATGGTTTCTATTCAGCTCGTCAGAACTAGCAATCTGCACAAGGAGAGCAGCCTCTCACAGATTTTTAGATGTAATGATTCCTCACCATCACCTTATAACAACACAAAATTGATCGATTGAACTAAAAAGAACTGCGGTTTTTTAATTTCGGTCATATCGAAAATATATGATATGCAAAGTTTATATAGTAAAACATATGCTTCATTTAATCATAGAATGAAGTCCAACCTAATATAGGTTGCATGATTTCAGTTTCTTGACAGCAAGATGTGATGCTATTTCCATATACCACTTTTTTCCTGCTTTTTCTTTATTCGGTATATAATATTATTCATGGAAATGAGAGATCAAGGCTACAAATGCAATACAATAAAACGAAAAGCACAATAATTTAGATTCTGTAGAGAAAAGAAAAGAAAGGAGGAAAGAGAAGAAGGAAGAAATAGAATACAGTGATAGATATAGTTTAGAACGTGGATATTAGCAGAAAGAAAGGAATTTTTTATTGAATATCCTGTTGCTCCTCTAGAACACTGGAACAGAGAGTGAAGAAGAGCAGGACTGTGTCCAATAACAGAAGTGAAGTAAGTCTCTAGGATTTTGATAGCCTGGTCTATACCACACCCAAAACTAACTAACTAACTCCTTATTTTGCCCAAAGAAGAGCATAATTGGGAATAGGGTGCTGACAAGTTGCAAAATCCTTAAATAGGATGAGGAGAAAAAGTTTCCTTCATCTCTCTGTTGAAGCTTTAGTACCTAGTTTGGTACCACGAACTCAGTTACTATTGAAAAGGTCAAACGCAAGATCAAACATGACAGGGTAATTTCTTTATCACTTAAGTCTAGGTACAATGAAAATAATCCAACATGCAGTATGGATAAGGAAGGCATCTACCGAGTGCCACCGGACAAGCAATTCAAATTTCGCCTTAAAGTATAAACTTACATAACTTCAAAATCTACTGCTATACGTCCCAGGGAAAAATGCATTTGTTTAGAAGTGAATTAGAATACCTTTTTTCCTATAGTTTTTTCTATGTAATCAAAGTGTCGAATAGAATAAAGACTGAAACTCTGAACAGGATCAGATCCATCATAAACTAGTATGAAGCGAATCAAAATGTGCGAGCTACATTAACATTATGAACTAGCCTGATCTCACAAGGATTAAATATCACAATCCTCGGGATGAAACTCCTGCCAATTACATATCTGGGCAATGTATATCACCCTCACATATGGAAGGACTACAGCTTATTACAAGATATGAACAAAGACAAAAATAAAATGCTAGAAGATTCATGCCAACAATGCTTTCCTCATTCGGTATCTCCCTTGAAGCTAGATTCATCATTCTTGTCCTTTGTGCCATTCACTATTTTAGTTTCAGTAAGACCATTCCTCTCGCCCTCAGTTGCATTGACTTCAAGAGTGTTAGACTTTTGGGGCACCTTTCGATCCAGATTCTGATCAGGTTCAGATTCTTCCGAATCATCAATTTCAAACCTTGCAGTTACTTCATTGGGATTTTGAACAGCTTCCGCATCATGCTTGGCGGGGTCAGCATTTTGAGGTTGTTGCGTCCCAGACATTTGAGCAGCTTCTAATTCCTCGTAGTTAGAAACTACCTGCTGAAGCTCATCATTGAGATATAAAGCCTCAAAAAGCGTTGCTTCATCATCTGTAGTGCTTTCCACAATCCCCTTGATGATAGACAGCGATTGCTTGCACTTGCCCAACAAGCTCACAGTTAAATCTTCCTGCAGGCAGACGAAATTATTGTAAGTTCCATGATCAAACAACTATTATTCTGTCTATACAGAAATTATCTATCAGCAACTAGATAGCATGGGGGAGTACTGAAGAAGTGCAGTACTCTCATTAGTTCAATTAATAAAATTATACAGACACTTAGGTAGTGTTGCCTATTCTTAATTATCAAAATGTTTACCTTCAAAGGTTTTGGCTCAGCCTCAGAATTCAATATGCTAGAGAGCAATTCCAGACTGTTCCGAGCAACCACAAGATGCTCTTTCTTCTCCTCCACTGATATGTGTTGGTAATTAGAAGAGAAAGCCACTGGATCATCCATACCTAATTCAGCTTCAGGAATTGGGTATCTTTCAGGGGGGTCTACAGGATATTGATGGGCATATGACTCAGAGGCATACGGAACAGGTGGTGAATTTCCTCCCGCCATGTCAAGAGGATCATCCCTTCCTTTCAAACTCTGTCATCAACCAGAGAAGGTGTAAAATTCAAATTAATGCGGAAGAGAAGGAAACGAAAGAATCTGTCAGGGTAAAGTATAAAATAGAAAGCATTTGAGTTAAAGCGTAGAAAATAAGTGAGAACATGAAACCCAAAACAGTTTCACTTTTCAAAATCAGTACTCCGTAAAAGATAAAATTCCCAGTTTCACTTGGGTATCAATTCTTACATACATGGAATAGTGATTTGAAAGAGAGAATACATGGATTACTATACAAAAGGATTTCTAATTCCTTAAGATTACTTATGTAACTTTAGGGCCTAATTAAGATAAATAATAATAATTTGGGAACGAAATTAATGTTTTATTGAGGGGAGAAAAGAAAGAAAAAAGAACTGACCATATAAGTTTGGCGAAAGACGGGAAGATAGGCAAGATCCTCGGACTCGCCCCAGGCCCGAATCAACTGGAAAGCCCGACGTCGAGTGTGGTGGTGGGCCTGGGCATCATCAATCAAGCGAAGCAGGTCGTCAAGAAGCTTCTCGGAAGCGATTTCGGAGAAGACCTTGTCGCAGTTCATGGCGCAGGTTTCCAAGAGGTCGAGGCTAAGAGTCTGAACCACAGGGCTCTTGTGGTTGATCTTCCTCTTGATGGCCTTAACGACCTCGGAGCCGTTGAATTGGTCGCTGTTGATCATGGCACATATCCTGAGATTGATGCCCCAATTAGGGTCCTCCATGGTTTCAAGCGTGGCCTCGTCAACCATCTTGGATTCGGGCGTGGGGGCCTGGAGCATCTCCTTGACCTTGCCGCTGACCATTCGGCCCATCTGGGCCCCACCCGTCTTCAGCCTCTCTCCCAGTTGCGCCAGCTTCAACCGCTCCATTGATCAATTATGATTTCTCCGTGGTTGGTTTAGAGAACCCTAGAATGAACTCCGGTGGTGGAAAGATGACGAGGTCTGAGGGTTATAAAGTGAAGAGGAGACGAGAGAGAAAAGTGGCGTGTGTGTGGTGTTCTGAATAAACTGATCGTAGATCACCGGCTCTCATCCTTCAACACAACTTAAAAGCCTTGAATTTGCTTCCAGTGGGTCCGCCACACACTTTTTCAATGCCGTAGACTCAGATTTGTGGGTCACATTAATTACTATTTACTCGCATAAAGTTATTTTACATTATTTATCAATAAAAATTACTCATTTTTTAATCAAATTTATTTGCGCTATATATAAATACTAGTAGTTATTTAATGTTAATACATATGAGAGAACTAATTATGTTTGATTATGTGGTTTTAAACTAATTTGTATAGAAATAATAGTCGGATTCACGTAAGGAAAACTCACCCTTTCTTTTTCAAATTTTTTTTTAAGAAAAGACAGGAAAATCAATAAAAACATTCCCAAAATCATTTTTATCTTGTGTAATTAATTATATATTCTTAAATAATTAATTATGCTAATCCATATAATAGATTAACACATAATTTATAATCATAGTAATCATATAATTTATGAGTTTGATTTTTACATAAATATTTTGCAATTTTTTACACACACACACACATATATATATATATATATATATATATATATATATATATATTAACATGTATTATCAAATTACCAACATTTATATTGAATTTATATTAAATTTATTTTGATAATTTTTTATAAAAAATAAATTAAGTTTTTTAGTTAAAATTAATTCATCCTTAAAACAATTATGAAAATTATCTGATATAAAATTTTATTTCTTATAAAAATTAAACCTATTATATACAATTTAATAAATATTAATTTACATAAATATTTAATCAAATTATTGTTTCAAGAAAACATTTTTTATCAATAATATTATTTAACAAAAATTATTAAAAAATAATATAGTTAATAATTAATATTTTATTTTAACAATGATTCATTAATAACATTTTTTAATTAATCTATATTTTTAATTTATTATTAAAAAAACAAATAAAAAATATAATATAATTTTTTCTTAATCATTATCTAATAAGAATATGTTAATTAATATAATTTTTTAAAATAATAATTTTTAATGTATATTAATATACTATTGAAAATATATAGTTTATATAACTTTAAATAAATATTAAATTTGAAATTAAAAATTTTTAATTAGAATATTTTATTTTAAAAATAATTTTAAGTAAAATATTAAGTATAGATAATAATATATAAAAATAATTTAATAAAAAATAATTTTATGTATTCATTTATTTATTTTAAAAGATAGTAATAGAAGAGTAATTAGCTTATTTACTATATTAATATTTTTTATAATATATATATATATATATTAAACTTTTTATTTATTTAATTAAATAATTATTTTATATTAAATTATATCTATCTCAATTTTAATTTATATTTTTTATCAAATAACTATAATTTTATCAATTATCATTGGACTTTTTTATTTAAATTTTACTTTTTGATGATTTTAATTTCTTTTAGAGGACTGCTAATTAAATATAGCGTCGTGTTTTATTTTAATGTTATCTGATCACTAATCATTTATTTTACCTGAAGGAAGAATTTTTAAAATTTTGAAAAAATCTATAAATTATTATTAAGGTTATAAAAAAATTAATCATTAAGAAGAAATTTTTATAATTATTTTTTATACTTTATATAAAATAATTTTATTATATCTCAAAATTTTAGTATAGTATAAATTAATTAATTTATATTTATTTTATCTCTTATTAATAAAAAAAATAATCTTACATACTTTATTTTTTATATTATTATTTTAATTTTTTTATTCAACTTCATCTTATTTTCTATTCTCATTCTCACGATTCAAATAATTCCGCTTTTTCACCATTTTTCAATCAGAAGTTAATTAAAGGTAATATTCTGACTATGATTGAGTTTTGGAATCCTTAAATATTGTAAACTAGGAATGATCGTTTGATGCATCAACCTTAACTGCAGGATGCAAAGGACGATCTCGTTAAAATGCAAATATCGTATTGTAGTAGCTAAGTCATGTATCCTTTGGGAGCTTGTGTAAATCATGGCAACAAGGCAAGAACAGAAAATCAAAATTTCTAGTACTGTATCCAAACTCTTTGACCCGTTTTAGCACCGCTAGTTGGTAGTTATAGGTTACAGAAGCAAAAACAGAGAGACAAAAGATATTATGTATTTCTGTTTTTTTACCAGAGAATTTATCTGGTTTATTTTCCCGTCGTTTCTAATTCTAGTTCTTCCAAATACTAGAGGATTGGTGGATCATTAGAATAGAATAACCATTTTATCATCCAGGCCTCCAAGGATTTTGAATTTGTACATATATTCCCATTATGAGATTTTTTTAACTTGTCACTGATTAAATGTGCACCATTGTTAACCATTGTTTATACAACCAGCAATTTTGGGTCTCTCTCCTTTCCTTTAACCTTTTAACTTGTGGAAGAAAACTACGAAAAATTTACCATTTTATGAGAAATTCCAAAATTTATGGTCACTTTGTTTTCTTGCATTTCACCGGAGCTTTTTGTTTAAACAATTTTCCTTACGAACCAATGAAAAAAAAGTATATGAAACAAATGGTAGTTGACTATTTCCATGATTCTAGAAACAGTTGTTCTAGAGCTTGGATTAATTTATTTTAGAAAAATATATACTTTTATCAAAAAATGTTTCGATAATTATATTCTTCAATAAGCCATAAAATAGCGTTGGATCTGAAAGCTGAGCAAAACAGAACCGTACGAACTCCTTGACTTGAGTAACAACATATTTATGTAAAAATGGGCCATGCTATTCATGACACCTATTTCTCTTTCCACACCCTCATTGTGTAACGTAGTTATGGTTTAACAATACATTATGAAAACTAACTTTTAATATTAGGATGATTTTTTTTTTTTTGCAAAAAATTCAAAATAAAAAAGGCAGACGGTAGTATTAGCTAACGAAAAATGAGGTTGTTACAAAACATGGACCAAAAACATAGTTTAAGAAAAAAACAAAAAAAACACAAACACGGACCCAGGTTTAAACCGATTTTGAGTTGGATTAAATCGAGATATGATAGTGTATAAAGAATCTTAATTGCATACAACCACTTTCTTTGTACACAAATTTTAATAAATATAGTTATGTAAAAATATCAAACTCTTGGAAATTTTTTCCACGACTCTCACGGTCTTCACAATTCTTAATTGTACTCACTGAGCTCAATGTCTCAACTACAGTGCACTATGGTTGGCACTTTATTTATGATACATAAGTCCATTAACGAGTATGATAATGAGTGATAGAAACCTTGACTTGGAGTTTGAGGCTATGCATTACCTAGAATTTTTGTTATGTTAAGGACAGAAGTAGATTACATAAAAGTTAAAAAGCATATTGAAAATAAGTGAAGATAAAATTAAGTTAAAAAAAATAATTAAAAAACACATCCTTTTGTGTTTAGTGGACAAAGAAAAAAAAAATAAGCTGTAAAAAATGCATTTTTTGTATTAGATAAGATGACTATTAGTAAAGATGATAATTAAATTTGTATTTGTGGGATTGATATGTTTTTATCCTAAGTTTAGCGAGAAAAATTGAGTTGATTGGAGTGGAGAAGAGTTTGAATTTTCTTCGATTTAAAAAGTTAGAGGTAAAATAAGAATGAGTAATGTAATTTTTATTTTGATTTTCCTTTCGTCCTCACTTGACTTTATATTTAAATTAAAATTTTAATTTTTTTTATTAGATATAAGATCATTTTTTATATTTTACTATTTTTATTTTTTATTTTATCTATTTTTTAATTTTTTAATCTTTTTTAATATTTTATATCAATTAGTTTATTATATTATTTTTCTCTTTTATCTATCAATTTTTTATATTTTCTTAATCTCTCCCATCGTTTTCTTTCTCAAAATTTTCAATGAATTTAATGAATACAAGATTATCACATATGGAGGCTCAAATCACTTATTATTATTGGCTTGAATCCAAAGGATGATTTGGGTATTGAGATTGAGATCAGTTTCTCACAAGAGTTCACAAAATACTTTAAAAAAAAAAAAGTTTTCTTTTTATACATTAAAATTTTCTACTGTATAAGCTGTCTGGTAGAATTTGTTGTATTGATATTTTCAATATATTTAATTTAATAAAAGAAAAACTTTGGTACTAATGAATTTTGTGTTTTAATGACTTACCTAACCAGTTTCTTCTTTTGGTTGAAGCCCTAACTCTTGTATCACATCACATGCTTTAAGCACAGAAAAATATACTACTCTTAGAGTGAATTTGGAGTGGACGAAGAGGATTTAAAAAAATATATATATATATATATATATATATATATATATATATATATATAATAATTGATATGACGAAAAATAAGTATAAAAAAATAAAAAGGTGAAAAATAAATAAATGTTTGTAGTCAATAGATAAAATCAGTATGCAAGAGCATGCATACTATTTTAGGCTTATATTATTTTATGAGTGGAGTGAGGAATATGATATTCTCCAATGATTAGTGGTTTCCGTAGCCCATTTTAATATAACAGATTGTTTTATTATCTTTTTAAATATTGGTTTTACAAAATTTTACACTTTTTGGGTAAGATAATGATTACTAAAAGTAGAGTTAAAAAATAGTAATAAATTAATATAAAGATTTTTACATTCTAAAAGCATGACAGAACAAAGCTTCTCTACATACTTATCGGAAAGAAGAAAAAGTTATAAGTTAAAGTTTATGCATTAGTTGAAAATTAGTTTTAAGGAATTTATGGGAAAATTAACGTAAGAAAACTTTTACAAATTGACTAATGTGTGTATTAATTTTAAGTTTTTGTTATTTTCCTTTTTTGTTTTATGAATTTCTTATAAAAAACAAATAATATATTTTCAACCCAATGTTATAAGTACATGCGTCAATGATTGTGTTCCAAGAGTTTTAAAGCTATTAAAGGTGTTGTATCAATCCTTTCTTAGTGGGGGAAAAAGCAAAAATGTAATGGTTAAACACAATTTACACAAATGCAACATAAAACTTAAATGGCACCGTAAAAAGAAAAAGCTACACCATTGTTGGCTTAACCAGGAATATATTCCATATATTAATTAGCACTTTCAAAATCTTCAAAGAAAACATGTTGAAGAAAATCTCAGTTGAAAATCACCACAGACATATTATTCTTTGCTTTTCCGTGAGAGAAGAGAAACATCAAAATAATGGGAGCAATTTACCTAAACTATGGTCAATTTGAAATTATAAATTTAGCCATTCAATGCACTTAAACTAACTATGGTTTACAAGCAATGCAAGCATTGATGCCAAAAGAAAAGCAAGATTTCCCACTACTCCAAAGTTAGAAAGACATTTTTAATATGTATAAGTGAGTTTTGTTAAATAAAAAGTAAAATTCAAATAAGTTCAGGGACAAAGTTTGTTAAACTTGTTAAGACTTTTACTGATGATTGGGTTAAGAAAAAGAAACAGTTGGTTAATTAGAGTGCTTGTTCCTTGACTATGGAACATGAATGAAGCAGCTGTGAATGATCTGTATATTATTGTTTTGTGGGTACAAAACAGCAGGGCTAAGTCCTGTTTGTAGTTAAGTCCCTGAATTCTTAGTACCATCTCATAACTATGATTGGGTCCACTTAGGCCCATTACCTTTTCTCATAAAAACCCTTTCTCTATCTCCAAACCAAATCAAATTATTACCCTTTCCCAACCCTCCTTTACTCCACCTAAATTATTAATACTTCATTTATGTATGGACCACACAACTCAACTTTCTATGTGAATGTTTAAAAAATAAATAAATTAGTAATTGATGATTCTATATATGTTGAATATATGACTAAATTTAATGTATCTTCTGAAAGAAGATGACATTGAGCAGAGAAACATTAAACAGGTTAGAGGATGGAATGACAAAAATCCATGTCCTTAGCTTCAAATTGTACTTCAAGTTCCATCACTGGTACTCATTCTGTTCACTGTTATCTCAACTCACAACATTATCAAATCTTGCTTCCTCTCCCAATAATGACTGACCAAACACCCTGATTACCTCCATTCTGAATTATCAATGGATACCTACCACAGTCTAACACCACTATGAGAAAAATATCAATGAACTCAATCTCAGTTCATCGCCATAACATTTACTACCTTTCCTCCTCCACCTGCTACAAACCACCCACGCATACTCAGGATATGACAACAATAACAATATATTATAAATGCAAGATATATAAAAGTATCAAAATGAATGTCATTTTATTATTGAGTTTCTTTTTCTCTTTTGGAGCCAAGGTACCCTTTTATTAACCCTTCTAATGCTTTGAATTACCAAGATTTTATTTAAGAGCTTTACATCTCCATAAATATTTTTTATATATACATTATAATAATACTATTGGGTACGTATTTGATATCAAATCTCTTAAACATTACTGTATATTATATCAATTTATGTTGTATCTTAGTTATGTCTGTCCTGTGTTGTCATATCTAGCATTAGTGTTACATTGAAAATCCATACATGTCCCATGTACATGTCGGTGCTTTGTAATTAAACTGTTCAAATATATATCTCTGTGTGTGTATATATATATATATATATATATATATATATATATCACACACGTCAGGATTGATATCAACAAGGCTGAGAAACTGTGCCCAAAGTTGCAAAGGGGTATAGGATAGAGATGAAGGTAATGTTGGAGATTATATATCAATTACTTACGTTACTAAAATAATGTTGGAGGTAATTCATGAACTATTTTTTTTTAATATTGACTATTTTTAAATTTAATTTTAAGATGATATTGAAGTGGATTATCACCTTAAACCTAACACACTACTTATAGACACACAGTCTTATAAATTTTATATATTCAATTACTGACTTAAAAAAAGGGTGTTAGGGCTATATTCGAATTTTACAGATTAATGATGTAGTTAAAAAGATTACATAAACAATTTATCTGGTCATGGACTAGATAATATTTTATCTCAATGCTTATTTTTTATATAAGTAAGTGATATAGAACTAATTAATGTCTTGTAAATTGGAGATTCCAAACAGTGGATGAATGTGACTCCCTACACTACATGTATAGGGCTTGAAATTCTGCTTTAGCAAACAATAATCTAGGTAATCGCACACACAAAAACACAAGGGAGAGTGAAATTGACAAACATACAATACATGTCACTGTACAGTTTCCTAAAATATTGATATATAGTTTTGTTTTTGGTGGAAGCAACTTACTGATATATTTTCACAACTCAGAACAGCTGCTTCATGCCAGAACCATTGGCATTAATCCAGCCTAGAGTATTGACCACAAGAAGTTCATCCCTCACTCTCCGGGGGAATTATTCATGCGGGTATCTCCAATGTTTGTACAAAAATGCATTTGTAGGTTTTTGTGGCTGAGCAATGACTATTGGCAAGCACCACTCTAGCTATTAGTAATTTGACCACAGATTCTCACCCATGTGAACTAAATTTGAAAGTGCAATTAACAACAAGCTAATATGCACTGTTCTATGGAATTGATTATCTATTTTATGATGTGAAAGGCACTTCATGAATGGTCAAGTAAGCTTGAAAGTTACATTTACTTTGACATTAAATTTATCTATAATTGAAAAAACAGATACCAATTCTTATATCAACTAACTAGAATGGTCCACCCACTAAAAGCTTATTTGGCGGGTGTGATTGAGATAATCTATGATCATGAAACATGTGGTGTCCCCTCACATAATTTTGAAATCATGTTTCTTGCTTGTTTTCCTTTCACAAGTGCATGACGTTCTGCAATTGAAAGATAAGAATATTGAAAAAGAAATTCTGAGTGCACTGTTGTGATGGGAACAAGAGAAGGAAGAGGAACCAATACAATATCGAATGGAAGAATCTTTATAATAACTGATAAAATTGTGTGGAAGGCAGAAAAACAGTCTACGATCCTAGTACCAGATTTTGTCATCAAGAATTAAAAAAATAACCGTAGAGAAAAAATTCTCTCTCAATATGGAATATTTAATTGCCCCACTTGGATGCTTGTCCTGTCAAAACAACCATTTGCTCAATTAAACTAAGATGAACAGTAATACATGCAAAAGGTAAGTTGAAAAAGCCATATGAAATATGAGAACGAGGATATTAAACTATGAATGCATATGCATGTTTTAATGTAATTACAGGTCAGTAATAGGTGCTTCATTTCGTTTATTTTCATTTTCAGTTTTTATTTAAACTCAATTCAATTTACTGATTTTAAAAATATATACAGTATTAAGTTTTGTATACACTGAATATGATATTCAGGATGATACTGAACTTATAAAATATTAAGTTTAGGTATTGACTGAAAATAATAAGAGAGGTGGTGGTGATAGAAGTAACAGTTAGTATGGTGATGAAGATAACAATCTGTGACACTACACAGTAGGTAGTCATAGCCAGTGTATATAATCCAACAAACTAGTGGCTTGTTAGTTGGACCTTTTTTGTTTCCTTCTTCATAAGAAATCAAAATGTCAAAAATGGTGGTGTTTTTAATAAAAAAAATGCTAAATTAGACCCTGTCAATAATATTTATCTATTATAATTATTTCCTCATTTATATCAGAATGTGATTCTTTTCAATGAATTAAAAAAAACAGTGAAATATGTAGGATGCATAGTCCATGACTCGGGGGTACAGGGAATTTAAGGTTACTATTTTGTATGGTTAGAAATTAGACGAGTTTGATATGCTAATTTTTAAAGAATACATTTAGGGGTTACAAGGATATTTTCTTAATTTGTTAAGAATATGAAATTAAAAATGTTTACTTTTTTAAAAAATATTTAAGAAAAACTCCTTTAAAAAAATAAGCTTAATTTTAAAAAAATACCAGATAATTATTTTTAAGAATTTTTATGTACATCTAAATAATTTTAGTTATTCTCATGTACAAAAGATTCATAGAATTTATAATTTTCAATTTTCAAAAGTCACGATTTTTATAATTTTTTTTCCTATACGAAACACACCTTAGAATTAGTGGGTCAAAGTTAAATTTTGAGTCACTTTTTATTAGTTAATCAGCATCTAAAAATATTAAAATAGATATGAAATCATATTTAAATTGGATAAAAGAAAAGGTCTTCTTTATTTTTTCACTGTCAGGAACTGTATGCAATTAGAGAAATCTTTAATACTGTAACACAAAATACTTTATATATATATTAGGATCAAAATCCGTAAATACTTTTTGAGTAAGTAAATTGCATAAGAGAAAAAAATAAAAAGTAGATAAACAATTGAAAGCTTCATATAATTGGAAAACTACTTCTGTTTTATTTACGCAGAACAAAAACTACTTCCTTTTTGTACTAAATAATGGAGATATCAAATTTTCCAAAAAGAAATTCCAGATAATCTTATTGTGAAACAGAAGAGACACTTTGAACCAAGCCAACATAGAAAGCCTATACTTGACCATAGGATTCTTGTTACTGTTTATGAAGCAACAAAAAAATTTATTAGATGCATTAGTAATATATATATATATATATATATATATATATATATATATATATATATATATATATATATATATATATATATATATATATATATAATACTTATTTGTTATTGCATTATTAATTAATCTCACTATATAGGTGAAGCCTTTTCAAGTTTTTCTTTTTCTTTTTTTTTTTAAAGAAAACTTTGCCTCAGGCATAACACAGGATCTATTGACCACTGAAAATAAAATTGTTAGCCATAAACATAATGGTTAACTATGACTAAAATCTAAAATTGATAATCAAACACACACACTTAAAAATTATAAAGAATAGAGTTTGAATAAGACAGTATAGTACGCGTACCTACATTTGAAAAAAATAGCACATAGCATTATGTGACGAATTGGTAGACAAACGTATCATTCAAAGAATTATTTAATATACAATTTAAAAATCCGCATTTTATTTTTATTTTACCATCAAATATATATATATAAAAGACAAATTCATTATTTTAAATTCCCTTTATCATTGTTAGAGTGCGTGGCATCTAAAATATTAAATTTTTAGAATTTTTAGAATAAAAAATTAAAATTTTAAATTATAGTTATAAAATAATTTTTAACTTATTTTTAAATATATTTTTTAAAATTGATTTCTAAAATTCTTTTTCAAAAACGAAAAATTAAGACTAAAATAAAAATTATACATATAATAATGTGTTTACAATTATACATAATTTGTTACGTGCATATATATATATATAATGAATTACGTAACATCTACAATCAATTATGTTGGTTTTAAATACATGAATAGAGAAAATGGTACATTGATAAGTGTGATTGTGAGCTTGACTTTCACTTGTTTTTATAGCCACCTAAGATGGAAACAATTCACTCCATTCAATTCAAACTCACATCTCACTTCCACAAAATGTGTGATATGATCATCATGCATGATAGAAGTATATTGTGTATTGAATATCTTAGAAAGATAACGGTGTATCTTAACCCACACATCTTGATGAAAAACCCACAACTCAATCCTACACTTTAAAAACCAAAATGATTTCTATCTTGATTCATGAAATGTAACTCCAAAACTTGTTATTAAGTTATGAAAAAACAAAAAAGGTCCAGTATTTTTTAACCCTATACTTTTCTTCCCTTGAAAATATCCCACATTGAGTAACACAATGTCACACATAGTCTCCTTTATTTGTAAAAAGAGGAACCACCAACCCACCCACTTCAAAAAACAAATTATATTTCTAGCTTAGGTTTTTTGTAGTTTTACTTTTATTTTTAAGAGTTTTCTTTTTAGAAATAGGGAAAACTTTTATTTACTTCATATGAATCGTACTCACTAAATTTTTTTTCTCGAGGTAAATTTCTTTATCTTCCTTTTTATGTTTTATTATTACTTTTATATTTTATTTTAAAAATAAATATACTGAATAATGATATTAATACTACTAATAATAATAGAATGTTAATATTAGTAGTCAATTATGAAAACTTAAGCTACCAGTGGTAACCATTTGAATCTTATTATGAAAGTGTTGTTAAATATAAATTTAAAAAAACACTTTTAACTATAAGAAAATTAACAAAACGTTTTTATTCAATAATCATGTAAATTTAATTCCTTATTACACCATGGTGTGTAAGAGTAATGATCTGCCCTTATTGATATATAAGAATAATGGTGTATTAAAAGGATAATGATAATAATTATTAAACTTTTTTTATTAGTATTATTATTATAATATATAATTTAAACCAATTTAGTATAATAAATAAAAATTAATTAAATTTAAATCATATATAGGTCGTACATTACTTCTTTCAACTCATTATGTTGATTAATTAAATAAAATAAAAATAAATTATATTAATTTAAATCATATATTATAACATAAATTATTTCATCTTCCAACTATTTTTTTGCTGTGAGATGGTTGTTTTTTAAAATTGGATTGTAAAGTATTATTTTCCTTTTTTTATAAATGTTACTTCTTTGAACGCATTATGTGATTAATAAAATAAAATAAAACAATGGATAATAATTATAAAGATCTCATATACTATTATAATTTAAGGAAAAAAGTAATCATTATATATATATATATATATATATATATATATATATATATATTCTAATAATATGTACTAACTCCCATGTTTAGGTCGTCTTCATAACATAACTATTGTTTTCATACATTAACAAAACATCATTTAATAAAGACATGTGTATCTGCATTTGAATATAAGAAAAAAAAATACTGATGACATAATTTTGAATTTGACTTAATTGAATTGATATTTTAAAAGATTATTACATAAAAAATAATATACATTTTTTAAAAATAATGTAAATATATTATTACTTATAAGATTTAAAAAAAATATAATCAAGATTTTTTACTTTTGAATTTAAAAATAGCTGTACTATTAGAATTTTAAAAAAAATGAAAAGACTACACATATATATTATAAGATTTGAAAAAATTCAATGAAATTTTAAAAATTTAAAGTTATTTGAGTAAATACAAAATAAAAAATATATAATACTTTGATAATGAAAAAGTAATATTAATACAAATTTTCGCTCTCATGGAGATTTGTTCTTTTAAATAAAATTTGTATGTTTATTAATATAACAAGATACATGTTTCTTCTTATGTAAATTTCTTATAAGAAACAAGCACCTTTTTTCAATAATTGTCATGCAAGTCCTTTTTAGTTCTGAGAATGTGATTACATGGCAATGACAATACTTATATTATATTCTCCACATAGATAACATAACATGCGTCTGGAATTTTATTTTCTTTTTCTTCTTTACATTAAGGTTGTTTGTTAGAGATTTTAAACATGTCAAATAAGATGAAAAACAATTAATCCAAAAATAAAATAAAACAAAAAATAAATAAGATTTAAAAAAATTATTAGATCAAATCCAATTTAATTATTTTAATTGAATTTAGTTGAATTAATTGAGTAATAAAATTTAAAAAACATTTTTTCAATGAAATTTATTATTTCAAAATATTAATTTTTAAGATTTTTAGAATAGTTTAAAAAAAGTACTATATTAATTAATATTTAAATAAATTAAAATTTAAAAATATTTAATTAATAAAACAATGGAATAAATTAAATTATTGTTATTAACTACTATTATTTATAGTATTGAACTGAATTTGATTATGTCTTGAATATATAAATTTGTAACCAATTTGTAAAAGATTTAAATAGATTAGATTGAGTTAATTCTGTTATAAATATAAAACTAAATAATTAATTAAGTATTGTTATTTATAATCATGCATTTTATTTACAGGAAATAAAATACTAAAAAAGAAAACAAAGTAATAAATATAATTAGTAATATAGTAATAAAAAAACAAAAACAAAAAAACAAAAGAGATGGAATGTGGTTAAAAAAAGTTGTTTTGTGTATGAAAAATGCCCATATATGAATGTAGATTTGAAATATAAGAAAGATGGTTGTATTTTATATATTCCCCTCTTATAATATAAAGATTGTTTTTGTTTCAACAGTTTGCTGGAACTGGTTTGAAACATTAGAGTTGTTAATAAATTAATTTGTATTTGGAACCTGAAAAACACTTAGGCATTTATTAAAGGTACACTTACAGAGAACATGTCATTAAAAGTTGGCTAGTAAAAGAGAAAAAGTAATTTATCACATACATGAAATTAATCATCTATTAATACCCTTCAGAGACCACAACTGACACTCTCATAGTTCATTAAGTCCTTTTTTATATATATAAAAGAATTTTTTTTAATTTTGTTTCTATTTTATAAATTTGATAAAATGAGGATGAGAAGTGGACAAAGGTGGTGTCAGAAATTAAAGTTCTATCTTTGTTAAGAGAAAGAAAAGGTTAAAAAGGGTAAACTAGTAGGGGTATTTGGGTCAATTCAGAAGGAACTGTCATTCAAGGCTACAGGGTCAAGAAACAGAATCATGTTATTCCCTCATTTTTACCCCCTTCAAACTTTTTCCTGTCTCCATCCAAACCTACTGTCCAACTTTTCTTTCCTATTTCCTCCAAAGCCCTAATAAGTCCCCCTTCTTCTTCTTCTTCTTCATCTGCTTCTCTCTCTCCTACCTAATACACACCACTGCACAACACAACACATCACAAGGAAGAATATTAATACAACCATTAACAAGTGACGATGAAATTTTGAGTTTGCTCCACCCTTTTAAGGAAAAAACCAATCCCTTGCAATATCAGAAACCAAAGCTACTAAAAAAACCACCAACACCTACCCTTGTGAGCTTTCTAGTATTGCTCAACAAATACTTACAACTTGCTGCATAGAGCAAAGACGAACTGCCCACTCACTCCCATCAATCTCATCACATTCTCAACATCAATAAATCTTCTTTTGCTTCACCATTTGCAGGTACATGTGTGTCACCTCTCTCTTCCAATGTTTCTCTCTCCCTTCCAATAAAAAAATAGAAAAAAAAACCCCATCAAGTCTGTAACACCAATCAACGATTAATCAGACTTTGTTCCCTTTCCTTCTTTTTTTTTTTATTTAATTTTCCCCTTTAAGGTTGTTCTTTTCATTTACAGTAACTTCTAAAAGGAAAAAAACATTAAAAAAGAAATTATTCAAACAAAAGGACATTTCCTCAACTGTTATCCAAACTATAAGTATAGTAATTGTTTATCTCAATTAAACTTCATCTCTCTCACACTCCTCACTCTGGTCACTGTCTTAGGAACCCTAGAACAGCAACCCAGATAAACTATTCCCAGACACACACAGGGAAAATCAAAACAATTAACCTTGGATCTGCAAAGCAAAGCAAGCACAAAGGGCCATGGATTCAAATATTCAAGACTTTATAGACACATGTAACTCTGACAACACCTGCAACCTCATCACCAATAGCACCACCACCAACTTAACCACTAGTGTTTCCTCTTCCTCAGCTGCTTCTACCTCCATCACCAGCAGCAGCCGCTACGAGAACCAGAAACGCCGTGACTGGAACACCTTTGGCCAATACCTCAAGAATCACCGACCCCCTCTCTCCCTTTCAAGGTGCAGCGGTGCACATGTCCTTGAATTCCTGAGGTACACACATACAATACAAGCCTTCTTGACTTGTTTCACACACCATGCATCCCTTCTTTCTCTTTTTTATTTTTCTGGTGAAGAACACATGTATCTTCCATGAGAATCAATCTTGGTAGAACCAGATTGCGTAAGAGAATTACCAAGATGGCAAAGTTCTTCATCTGATTCATGGAAGGATACTTTTGCGGTTCATGATAATTTTATCTGGTTATACAAAGATTGTTTTCCTTCCAGAATACAGGTGGTCTTTGCTTGTTATGTATGAAAACTTTTGTTTTAATTTTTGTTTTTGTGTAATTGTTGTTATGTGCGTAGGTACCTGGATCAATTTGGGAAGACCAAAGTGCACACACCGATCTGTCCCTTTTATGGACACCCAAACCCTCCAGCACCTTGTCCATGTCCTCTAAGACAAGCTTGGGGGAGTCTTGACGCTCTGATAGGGCGTTTGCGTGCAGCTTTTGAGGAAAATGGAGGAAAGCCTGAGGCAAACCCTTTTGGAGCTCGAGCTGTGAGACTCTACCTTCGCGAGGTTCGTGATCTGCAGTCCAAAGCAAGAGGAATCAGCTACGAGAAGAAGAAAAGGAAGCGTCCACCACCTCAGCAACAAGCCTTGCCTCTACCTGCTCTTCCTCCTCCAGGTGCAAGTGCAACTCATTAGAGGAAATCAATTCTCACTCCATGTCAAATTCTACTCTCTTTTTCTTTGTGTCAAAACCTTCATCCTCAAGTGGGATCTTTTCTTTTAGTCTCAATATGCTTTTAGAGTTATGGTCTAATTTAGTATCATAATATTTAGGGTTTTTTTTTTCCTCTGTCAATTTTTGTTTTTGTGAAAGCTGCTATATCTGGTCTATATAGACTGTTTGTCTTTGGATCCTGTTTGTTCAGGGAGAAGCAAAAGTTTAAAATTAAATTCTGGGATATCATGCATCTCTGCTTTAAAAGCAGACAGTGCGGTACTGGTAGTAGACTGATAGTGCGTGGGAAGTACTGAAAAGTGGAAGTGAGACTGTGAGAGTGAATGGATATACATGGAAGCCATGATCCTTGTGATGAGGAACCAAAAGTATGGTATTATTATTCATAGTTCTATATATCTGTACTTTTCGATCTTGTCAAGCTTAGACTTGTGGATTAATTATGTGTCTTAATTTTATCATGCTACCTTTTGGAATAAATATATTATTTTAAATTTTCTATTTTCCAGGGGTTGAATTTTAGTATATAGTTGCTAACAATTTCATTCCACAAATAGATGATTGTTTTTGAACTAGAAAACTACAGGTAGGAAGTCACTTCCATACATGGTGATGTTGGATAACATTATTTTTGCAATCGGGATATTGATGATCATTATTTTCTCACATCTACAACAAATGAGTACTCTTTCTCAATCTCCTTTTTTTCTCTCACAGTTGTTACTTACATGCTTTACTCTCTCCCCCAAATATATTTTGTGTGAAAAACAATGATGGTGCCTCTAAAGCTTAATCATAGCAACTTCTGTTTCAAACTGACAAGATTTATTCCCTCTCAATCCCTCCTCACTGCTGACTGTTAAATATATCAAGTTGATTGATGATGCTGAATCATATTATATGTTGTAGTGCTGTCATTTCAAATGAAATGAAATTATAAAAGGGAAGAAAAATTAATGGCAGACAATGTAATTAATTATTCAATCCCTAAATCTTCATTGTTAATTGTCCTATTTGTTTATACATTCTAAATAACTAAAAACTTGTATTTGCTACTCTTTTATCCATATAATACCTTATATAACACATAATCTCCTCGTAGATTACGATGCATGTCATTAACTCACATGTTTTCTTTTGAATTTGGTTATGTATGCCAAATGGCATATGAGAGATGAGCACTTTAATCTACACTAGCTTGGAAAAAAAGATAAGATTTAAAAAAACAATCTTGAATTGTAATATGTGGTGTCAATTAGGTTTTTGCAGTTGAAAACTAAATTATGCAAACTTGTCTCATGAGTAAAAGACAATCAGCAAGGGAAAAGAAAAAAGAAAGTTACTTTGGTAATTTATGTTTCGAAAGGAATTTATTTTTCATGTAAAAAAAATGAATATAAAAGTCAAGATGAGGAGAATAATTTGAGAGATGCGTAATGAGCCTATAAAAAAGTGTATTTTATATTCAATATACAGTGAAAAAAATTCATAACCATTTGAGCTCACAAACAAATCTCTGTAATTATTTTGTTGATCCACCCCTTAATTTGTATTATGTAATTATTTGTTAAAAAGGGAAGAAATTTTCAGAATCCCTCTGATGATGAAGAGACACCTATTGTAACCACCATTTGCTGAAGCAAAACCCAATAAGACACTGGATATATGCTGGAAAGATAAACTAAGCTTCTTATTTTCCTTTTTGAAGTGATTCTAGTGGGGCATATATGAGACTACCACTTCAAGACATAGAGGATCTATTCTTTCATATAATCATTTGAGTATAAATTTCGTAATTAAAGCAATATTTACCTTTATCGTGTAATTAAAAAAGAAAAAAGTAAACAGCTTAATGCAGTTACCATTTTTACTAAATTAAGAACGTAAGATAATTTTATTTTTATTATTATTTTTTTAAGCGTAAAGGTTTTGATTATTAAAAGACAAATATAATTTGTGTATACATAACTTTTTAAACATCAACTATACCTCCTCTTATTTCATTTCTATATAAATAAAAAATGGAGAAGATTTTTTATTTGCAAAGGAAAAAGACTTAAAACGCAGCAGTAGTAACATTGGAATATGGATTGAAAAATAAATTAGATTGTTTTCTTTTTATGAAATAAGAAAAAATAATTTTTATTATAAAGAAAAGGGAGACAAAAGTTAATCAAACCTAATGAAGTAATATCTAAAACTGATGCACAAAATACTTATTAAGGAATTAAAATTAAACTAGTATTTTAGTCTGAATAATGTAGAGGGTAAATGATTATTTTATATAACGAATTTTTTTATAAATAAATATATTTAAATATATAAATCATTAATCAATTAAAATTGATAATTAACTATTTTCTTTAAATATATAAATCATATTTAATAAATATTTTTAATCATTAATAATGTTTGAAATCTTTAAATTTAATTTAAAATGAAAAACAAATTAAGAGAAAAGAGATAATAAGAAAATTTTCTAAATATGTGTTTTTTTTATCAGTGATAATTAATCAAGGAAGGATGGCTAGAAACACGAGATTTGTATATTTTTATAACCTAATCTCTTTACCAAGATTACCTCCACGGTTATCTCGGCATAACATAAGCATGTGTACTGTGTAACTCGGAGAAACTTAGAAACGATTTAACCTTTTACTTCTCATTCTAATAAATATTCAATTTATATATTTAAGTTAAGTAAAAATTATATTTTTATTCATATATATATATATATATATATATATATTAAATTGAATATTGTACAATTTTATTTTAGTTAATTTAATTTAAGAAATCAAATATTCATAAAAAAATTTATCTAATATATATTAATTTGTAATTTGTTTTTTACAATATTTATATATAATTAGGGAAGACATTGCACATATATGTTCATAAATTATCAGATTATAAAAATATAGTGTTATTATTTTATTATAACAATGGTAAAATTGTTATATAATATTATATACACCAAAATATATAAAAAATATCTTAATATATTAATTAATATAAATAAATAAAATATTGTCTAGAATTTCGTTTAAGTAATTTAATTTAATTTATAAAAATGTCATAATGATACTTCAAAAGTATTTTACAAGGACAAAATTATTAAACTATTATGTTTCCTGATGATAATATATATGAAATATAGTCATCACTATTATTTTTTTGTAATATTTTAAATAGTAAAACATACTTGGTTAAATACTTTATTAAACTATTTTTACATGTAAACAAATAATATTTGATAATATTTTAATGTAATAAATTTAATTTATTTATTATTATAAATGGAACAATATAATTTTGTAATTAAGAATTACTTTTTCAAACTTGAATCACCTTTTATATAAGATAAAATGTTCTCATCATGTTTCTCTCACATGTTGCATTATCATATTTTTTTTGCAACGAGATAGATATATTTCTTTCTTCTTCTTCGTGGTGCGTCTTTTCCACAAATCATCTCTTTCCTTCTTATCATCTCATTTTTCTCAGTTTTATATTTCCCCAAAATAAATATCATTTCTTTGTTATCATTCTTGGCATGAAGTGACTTTGTTTCTTTATGGGTTCTTAGAGAATTTTTTTTATATAATTTTAATTTTTTTATGGTTATTCTAATTTGTGTAACTATTCCGGTGTACTACTAGTTTGTTTATGTTATTTATTAGATAAATATATAAATAAAAAATTAAATAAGTCCGTTATTTGATGTATAAATAAAAAAAACTTTTGATGTAAAAATAAAATTAAATATGACCATAAGAAATAAGGTTATATAAAAAAATTTTATACAAAACTTTGTATCATAGTTATATAAAAAAACATAATAGAGAGTTGTTATTTTATCACCAACATAAAAAAAATTCTAAACTCTATATCTTAAAAATTTAAGACTTTTATATCAGTTCAACATATGTCAAGATTTAATATAAAAATATAAAATAATCTCTGTTAAATTATTTTATTTATTATATTTTTTTAAATAAGAGATTATTTATAATAAATAAAAAAATTTACTATTGCATTTTGGAAAACCTCTTAAACATATGTGAAAATAATACTTTTATAATTAAGGATAGGTAAAATAAGTTAATGAGTAAGTATCGGGAAAAAAATAAAGGTGATAAAGTAATGTTACTGTGGTTATCTTAGAAACTTGTTTTTTACGCGTCATTTAGTAGAGGAAAGGAAAGATGAAAAAAATAAAATAAAAAATAGTAGAAAGAATGATAGTTTTATTAATTTTTAACAATTTCATTCATTGACATTATTTAATAAAAAAATACATCCATAATCAATTATAGGTGATTCATAATATATTCAGATATGACACTCAATTATCACAAAAGTGACATGGTGTGCAAAGAAGGGAAAAAAATAGTGATGAATAATGGAATTAAGTATAAGGTAATAATAGATAAAGTACAAGAACGAGATAAAGTGCTTGTAAAAAATAAATATTAAAGTTTATAAGATTTTTTTAAAATGATTGGATTATTAATAATATTTTTATTATAGTTGAGTTTAAAAAAAAAAACTTTGATGATAGAAAAAAAATGGTTTGAACAATAAGTTATATCATTTACAAGAGATAGAAATAATAATGAAGTAAAAATAATGAAAAATAGAATCATTTTAAAATAATATATAAATTACCTTTTTAATATTTTTAATATATATTGTTTTATTTTATATTTAAAAATTATAATAATTAATAAAAATAAATAAGATTAAAATTATTCATTTTTTATTATTATTTATTTATTTAAATCTCCAAGATTTAATTTCTAACTCCAACCTTATCATATTTTTATAAAAATATTAATTTATATGAAAATTTAAAAAAAGATTAATATGTAACTAAAAATAAATTAAATAATAAAATACAAATAAATAAAAATAGTTAAGGTATAATTAAAAATAAATTAAATAAGTATAAATAAAT